TTTTTTTTTTTTTTTTTTTTTTTTTTTTTTTTTTTTGATGATCTATGTTTTTATTTAATTTTATGTCTTCTTTAAAAACTTTTCATGTATTGTTAATACTTACTTTTTTTTTTTTTTTTTATTTGTTATATGCTTTGTTTTAAATCGTAATAAAAAAAAAATAAAAATTAATTTGTAATATCTTATGTATTTATATTTGTATAAATATTATACAAGTTCTAATTGTTACAGTATATCAATTTTTTCAAAACATATTTATTATTTTACTAACATATTGTAATAAATGTAAAGCTGAAACATTTTTAAGATTAAAAATTATAATTTGAAAAAATATTCTATTCAATATTTATACATGTCTAATTATTACTTATTTTTTTTTCCCCCTAGAATTATTAAAATGATTTTCTATTTATAACATAATTCCATATAATTGTCATACTACAATTTTGTTTTATTTTAAAACTTTAAACATTTCTTTTTCATCCTAATATAAAATCATAAAATGGTATTTTCTTTTTCTTTTTTAGTTTAAAATACATATGTAAAATTTATTCACATAAAACAAATTTTTATACTCAAAAAATAAAAATAAAATTTATTTAATTCATCAATATTAAATTAATTCAATTCATTTACAAAAAAAAAAAAAAAAAAAAAAAAAAAAAACAAAAAAGTATATAAATAAACATTTCATTTTTAAATGATAAAATGTACAAAAGTTTTCATACATTAATAATTCAAAAAACAGGAAGTGTATTGTTGTATTTTAGTTGTTTTCTATTATTCAATGAAAAATAAAAAGTAATTTAGTTCTTTAAAATTTTATACATTTAATGACTACAATAATACATTTTTTTTTTTTTTTTTTTTTTTTTTTTTGTTTTGTTCTAATATTTTTTCTTTAGATAACTAAACTGAATAAAAACTTTATATATATTAAAAGTTAGTATTTTATTCTAAAATCCTTTTGAAAAATATTAAAAAAAAAAAAATTAATAAATAATATATAAACGTTCAATTATGTATATCTGCTGTTATAATACATTTATATGTATTTTTTTCAAGTGGTTTTTATAAGAATAATTTTTAAAAGTGAACATATATCTTAATTTTGCAAAAAATAATTACATATATATATTGATAATATATATTTAACAAAAAAGTATGTAATTCTTAAAAATAAAAAAAAGACTATAAAATATATGATTATGCATATAAAAGATGCTAACAATTAAAAATTTCATAATTTAAAAAAATATATTCAGACATGTATATTTCATTTTTTTAAAACATTTTATTATAATACCTATCAATAATTTCTTAAAGAAAAATAACAAATTTTAAAAATTTTATTATAATTCTGTATTGATTTTGAACATAAAACTAGGAATAAAAAAAAAAAAATGCATAGTTAAGAGTAGAAAATTTTAAGATTTAAAAAAAATATATTTTTTTTATATTTTCTTATTAAACTATTAAAATCTTATATATACTTCTACATTGTGTTAAATTCTTTAATGCTTAATAGAGTGCTTTATTTTACAGTCTTTTTTTATTATTTTATTTTTTTTTTTTTTTATTTCTATTTTCAGGTTATCATTTTAAATTATATCAATTTTTAAATGTTTTAGATTCATTTAATATACATATAGAGTAAAACTAAAAACCACTGCTTAAATGTAATTGCCTAAATTTTGGTGTTATATTTTTTTTATATATATTTAAGCATTTCTATATTTTAATAAATTTTTCACTTATTTTTTTTTTATTATATTGTAACTTCAAACTCTTGAATTACATTTTTCTTTTCTTGTTTCACTTTGTGTTATCTCTTCATATATTTTTTTTTTTTTTTTAAATATATAACAATATTTAGATAAATATTCTTAAATACTGCATTTAACTTTTTTTTTCTTTTTAACTCTATGATGAAACTACTTCATTAAAATTTATTGCTATTTTTATATTTTTAATGTTTTATAATTTTTTTTTTTCAATTTTGTTCTATTTTTTCTTTTTAAAAAGTAACATAAAATTCTTTATTTCTTATTGTTTTTTTTATATAATGCACACGTTAAAAAAAAAATTACAATTTTTCTTTAAATTTAAGATTTAAAACAAAAAGTATTTTTGCCATTTTAAATTCATAAAAGAAACAAATATTAAATGTCATATACTTAATTATATTATGTAAAAAAAAAAAAAAAAAAAAAAAAAATACAAATATATTTATCCTTATATTTGTAGTTTTCTTATTAATTTTATATATTTCTATAAAAATTATATTATATTAACTCTTCTAGTAATATATATGTAATATATCATTTATTTCTTTGTTAATCTACATATTTATGTACGTATTCATATATCTGTTATTTAATTAATTTGTATTTTTTTTTTTTTTTTTTTTTTTTTTTTTTTTTTTTTTTTTTTAAAAAAAAAATTTTTTTTTATATAATTTCATTTTTGTTTTTAAATTTTAATATAATGGATTTTTACTTTAAAAAAAAAAAAAAAATAAATAAATAAATTAAATTTTTTTTTTTATAATTCATATTATTTTAAAATATATATATATATACATTTATAAATTAAAAGAATTATATATTATATAATTTAATAAATCATTTAAACTTTACTCTTATTTTAAACTGTATATATGTATTTATATTTTAATATTTTAAAATGTTTTATTTATATAAATGTATTTCTATTAAATAAATATATGAAATAAATTTTATAATTTATATATGTATGTTCTTTATATAAAACTATATAATTTTATTTAATTAAAATTTCATGTATTAATTTATAGGATTTTTTTTTTTTTTTTTTCTTTTTACGTAAAATTATATTTCCTTTTTTCATAAAATTATGCCTTTTTTTTTTTTTTTTTTTTTTTTTTTAATATACATAATTGTTTTTTTTATTTTTATAAAATTATGAGTAAAAAATGAAAATTCAAATTCCAAAAGATGATAATTTTATATTAATGTTAGACAAGATATGTGAAGAAGAAAAATTTTTTATTCATATTTTATCAACATGTGATAATAAAAATTTATTAGATCATTTATTTCCTTTTGTTGATTGGATATGGTTAAAGTCAGATATAATTGCATGGGCCCCTGTACTAAATAGATTTGATGATTTGTTGCATAAATATATAATACATAATAAATTAAATAAAGAAGAAAAAAATATTAAAGATGTTTGTAAGTTAAATGAAAATTCGTTAAAAAAAGATTGTGAAACTGATAATAATAATAATAATAATAATAATAATAATAATATAAAAAAAATAGATAATGATGATCATAATAATAGTAATGATAATAATAATGATAAAAAATATGATATCAAAGAAAATAGTGATGATTCATTTATACCATCGGATTTATTAATTGAAGAAATATTGAGATTTACCTATTATATATTAGACAACTGTCTAAGTAAATCTAAATATAATTCTTTAGATCATTTATTAGTACTCCTTTGGAGTTTCAATCCCAAAATATCAATTTTATCTGCACAAATTTTAAATATATATTATTTATTTATTAAGAAAACAAAAAAAAATGAAAATAAAATAAACGAAATTGTAAATTTTCTATCGTCACTTATTAATATACCTGTGCCTAATTATCTTCATCCATATATCAATAATGATATAAGTAGAATAAACGATAATAATTACATTTCTGGTTTAGTATTATATTATTTGCATGATACATCTGATAAAAAATATATGAATAATATTTATTATAAAATTGAAAATAAACACTTTCTTGATTTAATTGATTATAATTTAGATTTAAACAAAATATATCTTAATATTGATGATAATGAAATACCATTTACTTCAATTTTTCCAAAACAAGTTAAATATAATGAAGCGAAAGAAGTTCTACAAAATGCTTTTGATACAATTGTGAAAAAATATAATATTTATGAAAAAAAATTGTTTGATTTAAGACATAAATTAAGAATCTATTTAGGATTAGTATGCCCTAAATATAGAAAAAAATTATTTAATTTGAGATACTTAATTATATCCGGTTCTCTATCAATTAATTCAATATTATATCCACAAATTATTGCTAGTAATAGTATATTTTTACAAGAACTTTTATATTTTTTAAAATATCATAAATATATTCATTTTAATACTTTACATATAATATTCGACCTATTAACAACAGCAATAGAATCACATTTGCATTATAAACTTGTTTCAGATATATTAGGTTTACGCTTACATAGTGGATTATTCATTAGCATTTTTAAATATTATTTAAATTATTTTTTATCCTCGTATTCTATACAAAAAGATATATGTCCATTACATATAATGAATGAATATAAAGAGGAAATCTATAGTATAAATTATATTAATGCTCATTATATTAAAACTCATTTAAATGAAAGTAGTTCTCTTACTAATAATAATAATGTAAATTATAAATGTAACAATAACAATATTATTAATAGTAACAATAATGATATTTTAGCTGAAGATAGTCAACTCAACTCATTGAATGAAGCCCCACAAAATGTAAATAGTAGAGGTAACAATATAGACAATATTTCATATGTATCACAAGTTGTTAATAATAATCAAATTGATTCCATTGAACAAAATGATACATCTTTTAATAATTCATATATACAAAATACATTACCATTGCCTCATAACGAAGTTAATCAAGCTAATTTAGGAAGTCATTCGAATGAAAATAATTTAGTTATTCCCTCTAATTTAATAAATGAGAAAACTCCTATGTCTTCTACTAATTTAATATCTATAGAAAATAATGGAAATAATCAAAATTTTAATTTAAATATTACTAATACTTTTGCATCAAATTTATCTAATGATGATGGTACAATAAGAAATAATGTATCATATCCTATAAATAATAGAGAAAATGAAAATGAACAAATAAATATTAGTCAGGTAAATATAAGAGATAATTCATATAATTTAAACAATCATGAACAAAATTATCAAAACAATAATAATGATAATATAAATAATACTAATAATGTTGATATAATAAATAATATTAATAATATAAATAATGTTAATACAACAAGCAATACAAATAATGCTAGTAATGATCAATCATTAAATGTTTTTGATAATATTCATAATGAAGGTAATATGAATATTGCTGATAATATCAATATTTTTGATTATATGAATAATACAGACGATATAAATAATGAAGATAATATTAACATTTTTGATTATATAAATAATGCTAATGATATTAATATTCGTAATAATAATATGATTAACAGTGAAGAAAATGAAAGAGTGGAAAATAAAGGTGAAATAAATTATGATAATTACATCAGTGAAGAAGTAATTATAAATAATATTAAAAATTGTAAGAAAAATAGTGAAAATGAATTTAAAAAAATGACAAAAAAATATTTTAAAGATTTTAGAAAAAAAAAAAAAAAAATATCTATGATGCTGCAGTTATTAACCTTATATCACACATGCATAATGGAACCTTGTCCTATTTTAACTATAGCTCAACAAAATACTTTGAAAAATTTTCCTTTTTATCTATTGGATAGTTATACACTTAATTTACCAATAGTTCATTTATTATTAAGAATAATGGAAACATTACTTGACTTTACTCCTAATTCATATTTTACAGTAAAAGATGAAGAGGAATTATATAAAATATTATTATCTCGCTTTCAATATGAAATTTTTATGATGTCAGATAGTTTTTATTATATGAATAGAAATGATTTTTTGAAATATTATTTTGAGCCATTTAATTATAGTGATTATGATGAACATTTTATTGAATCAAAAGAAGATATGGAGTTATATTTAAAAAAACGCAAGAATATTATTAATTCAATTAATGCTTCTGTACAGAATGGAAATATAAATGGATGTAATTACACAGAAATGAAATCCACTAATAATAATATAAACGATGACAATATAATTGTAAATAGAAATAACATAAGAAATAATGATGTGGATGCAAATAAAAACATAAACGAAGAGAAAAAAATTGTTCAAGATTACAATGAGAACACTATATTTTCTGCAAATGATACAAACTTAATAAAACTTTTTAATAAATATGATATGAACGCAGAGGTTACGGATGATATTCTTTTGAATAGATTCTCATTTTGGTTAAAATTACATATTTATGAAGAGAGAGTAAAAATAATTAAGATGATTTTAAAAGCCTTAAACTTAGCCTTGAAAGGTTATTCACCAACCGATACCTTACTTGATATATTCACGAATAATTATATTTCTGTTAAAATAATTAAGTATATTTTAAAAAATCCCCATAAATTTAGTTTATGCTTATATGGTTATATTCTAGGTTTTATATATGAACACATATATGAAGATCCAACTATTTTGTCTACATTATTAAAAGAAGGAATTTTAAATATTATGTTGCATAGTATTGTAGAAGAAAATTTAAAGGATGAAACAGTTTTAATATATGTTCCATCATTATTATCTTTAATGTTTATTCATAGCATTGGAAAATCTGCTATGAAAAAATTAAATTATACACCAATATATAACTTATTTCATTTTGTAATAAAAACAGACTATTTCTTTTTTGATAGATTTGGAGATATTGCAGTATCTATAGGTAATATTATTAACGAGTTAGAAAACTACGGGTTTGTGATGAAAGATTTCTTAACATTCCATGTAAAGTTATTGAAAAGATTATATGTGGAAGGATTAAATTTAGGATATTGGAAATGCTTAGATTATAATTATGTAGAAAAACATGTAGAATTATCTATTAAAAAAGTACATGATATACAGTTAAAAGATTTAAATATAGATAGATATAAATATAGGAGAGATAAATTTTTTTTAGATAGATTATCTATTATTTGTAGATGTATTTTATCATATATGAAAAGTTCATGGATAAAGACATTTATTAAGTTAAATGGTTTAAAATTTTTAATGGCATTTGCTAACTTAATAAGTTTACCACCAAATTATGTTCATATTTTCGAATATCACCCAATTTATACCTTTATTATGAAAATATATTTATATTCGTCCTTTAAGAATATATATAATCAATTTTTATTTCCTCTTTATAATTATAGTAATTTTATATTATATATACAATATATAAATTTAATACTAAAAAACACCTTTTATTTTGACTTAAGTGAAAATATAATAATAGCGAAAAAGTCAGTAATTCTAAAAAATAAGAGAAGTAATAATAAATATATAAATACAGATTTTTTTGCGGGACCATTTATTGATCGTAATAAGTTGCTCTTGTGCAATATAACGCAATTATTTAATATTTTATATTTTTTGATTTCTGCCTATTCTGATGCAAAAGGGTTATATGGAAATGAAGAAAAATTGTATGATTCACCAGAGCTATCAAATAGAAAAATTTTAGAAGTTTTTTCTGATGTGCTAGTAACAATTGAAAGTGTTTTTGATTTTTATTTTACTCTTTATTTTTATCAAACTAATGATTTAAATAATAACATCTTTTTACATTTAAAAGATAAAATTTGTGTACATGAGCATGTAAAGAGAACTATTAGAAACAATCAAAATAAATCAGATTATTTATTATATAACCTATTTGGTTCTACTCGTTCATTATATTGTTATTCAGTTAATAATAATTTATATGACTTGAATAATAAAGAAAATAAAATTCATTTTATATGCGATGAAGATAATATAGATGATTACAAATTAACTGATCACCTTAGTATGCTAGATAATGAAGACAGGGTTTATAAAACGATATATAAATATACTTTTTCTCAAGTTTTATCAGAATTTAACTCCTTTATTCATAAAAATATTAAAACTCCATCAGATATTTTAAGTAATAAAAAGAAAGAGAAATGTAAGTTCAAAAAATACTTTTCAAGTTCAGAAGATTCTGAAAAAAATATTGCTGTAAAGAAAGACAATATAATAGATGATAATGTTAAAAACTGTGGTAATGGTATATATAATGAATTAACTAATAATAGAATAAATGATAATAGCAATAATAATACATATAAAAATAAAACGAATGATAATAGTAACAATATAAATAATAATTATAACAGTAGCATAAATGAAATAAATGAAGATATTTTTCGTGATTCAAATATTTCTAAAATATATTCCTTATACAATAATAGATATGAAGAAAATAATAAATCAGAAAATGATAAAACAAATAATTTAAAATCAAGGAATTCCAATTATAATGATTATTATCTAGATGACAAAAATATTAATATGCATACAAGTTACCCGTATGAATCAAAATATGTTATGTGTGAAAGTTTACGATCATTGTTAGTAGTAATTAAAAAATTTTTTATTATGATTAATTTAGCATGTCACACTAGACAAATGAAAGTAAAAACTAGTCCAAATTATATTTTTTATAATGTTATACAACAAAAACATATTTTATGTATTATTAGATGTTTAACAAAATGCATGATGAATATCCCACTAGTTAGTAAACCCATACAAGAAAATTCTTGTATGGATGTAAATAATATTTACAGTATATTATCAGATAATATAACAGCAGAAAAAATTATATATTTAAATAAAGCTAATGAAAAGAAAAATAAAAATAATATTAATATATCAAAAAATAGTTTTAAGAATCATGCAAAAAAGATATCAAAAATAAATCCAAATATTACGCAACAAAATACCATGAAACAGAATTATAATAATGATTCTATTTTAGGAGATCAAAATATTACATATAATAATAACAATAATGATTCCATGAATAATGGTGAATATAAAAAGGTAGACAAAAATTACAATTTATACGATTATTCATATACACCATATATGAATTATCGTGTTGAAAAAATTGACAATTTTTATCCAGAAAGTTTTTATATGGAGGAGATATTATTTAAAAAATACAATTTTAACTTTTCTAGTATTTCTGTTTTACCGAATAAAAACATCTTAAACAATAAGGACACAAGTAAAGGAATAAATATAAATGAAAATTCATCTAACATTAATATATCAGAAAATGCTGATAGCAGCAATTTTTTTAATATGAATGTTAATAATTTAAATGATGTTAACGTAAATTGTTATAATGGAAATGATTTAAACACAATAAACAATATAAATTCTGTGAGTAGTTGTTTTAATAATAATTTGAATAAATATAATAAAAAATATATATGTGATAATACAGGAAATGTAAATGGAATAAGTGACTTGAATAAATCAGGAAACTCCAATAATAATAGCAACAACAACAAAACAGAAAGTAGTACTAAAGAATTGTTAAATGAAAGGAAATATATAAATGTTTTAATTCATATAGAAAACTACACTCCAATAAAAACCATAAAATACATTTCAGAGTTAATAAATATTTTACATAAGTTACTTTCTGATAATAAGTTAGAATTTATTAGTTATTTTTATTTTTTAGATTTATTATATAAAGTAGGAACATTTGATTTTATTTTTAATATGTTTAATTATGTAATGAGTGTATATATATCATTATTAGCGCTATATTATAAAAAAAAAAAAGAAAATAAGCAAAATATAAATTTCAAATATACTAACTATATTCCTATACATATAAGTAAAAATTACACCTGTACCAATACCTATTTTGTTCGTTATATTTTAAGATTAATGCAGTATTATTCTGATTATGATATAAATAGCATAAAAATTTATTTACAAATTACTGTTAAATCCATTAATGCTTTTTTAGATTTTTTCATCAGTTTAATAAATATAGGAAAATTTAATTTGATTTTATTTTGTTCTAAAATGTTGCATCCTCTTACAAGGATTCACAATAATTTTGAAAATAATAGTGAGAAAATGAAAGAAAATATAATTAATAAAGAAAACAACAAAAATATTACAGAGAATACTTTGAATAAAGAATTTGATTATACTTCAAATGAGAATGAAAGAATAGGAAATATAAATGGCGATGAAATTAATTATTTAAAAGATAAAAAAGTAAACAATGAAGTAAATAAAAGTACATATAATTTAAACAATTCTAAAGATAATGAGAGTAATAATACTATAAATAATGAAAAGAATAACATTAATGATGTAAATGTTGAAAAGAATTATGATACAAATAATATAATTGATGATAATAACAACAAAAAGAATATTTCTCAATTTTCTTCAGACAAATATGAAAAAAATAACAAAGGCAAAAACTTTTCTGATGATTGCAATAATAAACCTGAAAAAGAAAAAGAAGAAAAACAAAAAAATAAAAAAAATACATTTAGTTATAACAATAATTTTTTATTTTGCTTAGATTTCTTTGATATTATTAATACAATAAGATCAGTAAAATGTGAAATATCCAATAATGTATTTATGTGGTTAACGTATATTAACAGTACAAGTGTTAAAATTAATAATTTAGGAAAAAATAATATATATATAAATTTTAATAATAATATAATATATACCTTCTTAAAAATTATTTTGAAGTTTATTCATCATTCAACCGAAATAGAACCTAAAATTTTAGAATTCTGGATGAAAGAAAAATGTAAAGAAAAAAAAAGTATAGGAAATAAGGAAAAAGAAAAGGATGCATTTAATTATCCAAATGTAAATATAATGGAAGAATGGGGATTAATGGGATTTGATGAAAAAACTATTTATGATTGTTTAAATTATTCGGGAACGACAGATTTAGATTGTACGTTGAATTATTTAGATAAAGCTAAAGAAAAGGAATTATTTTTAAATTTGAACAAAGGAAAATCTTTATCCGAAAGGAAAAAAGAAAATAAAAAGTGTTATTACTCTGAATATGATGAATTTAGTAGTGAAGAAAATTCTAATATGATTAATAAGAAGACGAGTAATGAAATAAGAAGAAATGATAATGTTAACGAAAGTATAATTGAAAATGATAATGAAAAAAAGACAGTGGATAATAATAATAATAATAATAATAATAATAATAATAATAATTTAAATGATAAAGATCATTTTTATAAAGACGATAAAGATGTTCTAGAAAAATTTCCATTTATGTATGAAATTCTTAAAGAAGCAAAAGCAAAATCAACACATGCAAGAATTTATTATTATGAAACTATAATGGATCCCAATAGCAAAAGAAATATGATTTTTTATTTACAGTATTATTTAAAACTATTAAAAACAAATTTATTTCGTACATATGAAGAGAATAATACTATAAAAGAATTCTGGGATGAAGAAAAATATCTTTTATTAAAACAATACATTTATAAATATATTTTCAATATGCTTATAAATATAATGATTACTATCCCATATTATGAATTGTCCTTTATGAATTTATATTTGAGTTTTCTTGTTATTGATATAGATAAAAAAACTGTAAAATTGTTTTTAGATCAATATAAAAAAACAATACACGATAAAAATAGTAATAAAAGTAGAATATTTAATCATCAAGATGTAAAAATTATTATTTTATATTATTTTATTGAAAACATATCAAAAAAAATTAAGACTTTAAAAAATGACGAAAATTTTCCTATTGAACCTTTTTATCATTGTTATCATATATTTATGCACTTTAATAAAAGGAAAAATAAAAGCACAAAAAATGAAAACACTTATACAAAACTAGAAACAAAAAACAAAAATATAAATAAAAATAAATCATTGGAAAGTAGGAATATTGAAAATGTTTGTAATAATCACACTTCATCTTCAAATAATGTTACAAATACAACTACAAACAACAATAATAATACGAATAATAGTAATAATAATAATTTCATACATATGGAAAATGAAGCAGTAAATAGTAGAACAAATAATGACACTAATAATCCAAGTAACACTATTAACAACAATAATACAAATAATATGAACAATAGCAATAATCAAGATAGAAGAAATAATATGATAAATGATCTATTAGTTGATTATCAACTAAATAATTATGATACTAGTAATCATAGTGATGATAATACTACAGTGTTTTATCAAGGTAGTGATATTGTTGATGAAAAAAATTCAATTAAAAATAAAAAATTAAATAAAGAAATGAACAATGATCAAGAGATAGGTAATGAATTAAATGATGATAAAGAATCTTTATATGGTACAAAATATATTAAAGGTGATATGGATGTAATATATGAATCACAAAAAGATATGGAAATTTATTCATATCATTTCTGTTTATATATGTTATTTTTTACCTTATATAATATTATTCATAAATATAGCATAGCAAAAAATTTAATTCTTCATATAGATAGAAATATTCTCGATTATTGCATTTTTTTTATACAAAAATTTAATATTACTTACTTAAAAGAGGTAGAAAATAATGTTAATTATTATTTAACACAAGAAAAAAGTAAAAATGTTTCCAATGGAAATCAAAAGAAAAATGAAGGTCTATTAGATACACATGGAGGATGTTATAGTAATAGCAACATTAAAACTCGTGTAAATGATAATGACTCTTTAAAAAGAAACCAGGAAAAAAATAAAAGAAAAAGGAAATATAACAAAATATTGCCATCAAGTAAGACAAATTCCAATAATCCTGAACAGTTTGATATAAATTCGGAAAATTTTGAAAATTTTTTTCCACATGCAAATGAACAGAATTTAAATATCATGAAGGAAGATACTCATTTGGAAAATGAAAGTATTCAAAATTATAATACTCATAATATTGTAACACAAAACAATGATGATCAAAGTTGTAGTAATAACGACAATAATAACTTAAGTAATATAAATAACATAATAAATACAGATAATATAAATAACAAAAATTTAGAAAATAATTTAAAGCATGATTTACTAAATAATACAAATAAAAAAAGAAAAACTAACATAATATATAATAAGGGTTTAGTAATTAATAAAAGTATCGAAACTCATAATTTACTTATTCCATATTGGAATTTGGCTGATATAGATAATTCAGAAAATGTACAAAAAACAACAAATAATTTATATATAGAAAATGATGAGAATAAATATATTGCTCTTTACTCGAAACCACCCTGTTTTTATGCACCATTATTTATGTGTTTACATAAAATTATTATTAACTATTCTTTATATAATTTTAATGATAAAAATAAAAAAATAATAAAAAAACAAAAAGAGGAAAAGATAACCGAAGAAAAAAATACAAATTTTTCAAAAATAGAAAAAAATAGCATATCAAATAAAATTAATATTAATAAAATGGAAAAATGCTATAATCAAAATGATAAAAAAAATGTCACCAATCAAAACTTTTATGAAACATCTATTGAAAATATAAGATATATGTCATCAGAAAAACAACATAATATAATAAAAATATGCATTGACACCTTATATTATTTTAAAGGTTATAATTCTCATTTATGTTTAAGTATTTTACAAATTATTGAATATTTAACAACCACATATAATAATGTTATATTTTTTATATCTTATTCTCCCCCAAATATATATAAAAATTTTAAAAAGCTGTTTCAAATAGAAGAGAAAAAAAAAAATAATCAAAAATTTATAGAAAATAAAAATTATTCTTCAAAATGTGATAAATTATTTATAAAAGAGAATATTGTAAATTTCAACCCATGCAAAAATAATATTAATGAAAAAATAAATAATGATGAAAATGATCATAATAATGTTGATGATATAAATAGTATGAAAGATACAAGTACCTTTACTAACTATATTGATGGAAGAAATAAAGAACGTTCAAATTGTTCAGAACCCAGATTATCATATTTTGATTTAAATGACTTAATACTAAATAATATGAGTAGAAATAGTTTAGGTATTCTTTTAACTATATCTAAACAAGCAAAATTTAAAGATATGCTGATAATAATTATAAATATATTAATTCAATGTTTCACAGATAATTATGTGATTGCTAATAGAATTGAGTACAGTATAAAAACTTATTTTCAATATCATGGTATTCCTGTCAAATGTTTTATGAGAAAAGATGATTTAAAATCGATTGAAAATAAAAATTTTTCAAATGCATTAGGTGTGTCATTAAACGATTTAAATGAAGCACTTTACCCATTTATTTTTAAAAATCCACAAATTTATGAAGACGTTTTAAGTTGCTTGTGTTTTTTTCCAAACTTAAAATATGTTAAAAAGAATAAAGATGATTTAGAAAGTTTAAATATTAATTCAAATATGTTTAATATGCAAAAAAGTAAAAATTCAAATGATTTTAAATCATCATTAAATACCGAGAAAACTGAAATGAATGACGAAGTAAACATAGAGCAGAAAGAAAGTATGAACATAAACAAAGTGAATAATAACAATAGTATTTTGAAAATTATAAAAACAGAAAAACAAAAAAAAAATAAAGAAAATGAGAATAATCATAATAACACAATAAAAATTACATTAAATGGAGAAACAGGCAAGCAATTTGATGTATCAAACACAAATAAAAATAATTCTATATTTCATTTAAATAAAAAAAAAATAAAATCTCTGAAAGATATAAATGAAAATAATAACAATAGTATTATTATTAATAAACAGAATAAATATTACTTAAATTTCTTACCATTACCAGAAAATATAAAATCTATATATATGCTATCTGAAACAGCAAATAGTACAAAATATTTAAAAAAATATCAAATTAAAAATAATTTTTATAATTTCTATATATTGGCGATCTTGTTTGATTTTTTAAATTTGTTTACTATTATTCAGAGCAAAACAAGATTAATTAAACTAAATGAAAAAGAAGAAAGGATTAAATTTAATAAAAAATTAATGGAAATATATGGAAATGATGCAGATTTTGAAAATGATTTAGAATATAAAGTTATGTATCCTTTTGCTTTAACTGCTGATAATATGTTATTTATTGTTAATTTGATTTTAAAAACATTTAAGCATTTAATTGTATATCTAATTAAAATTCCTTCATCTTTTAATCATAAAATTATAAAAACATTTTTTCAAAAGGATTATGATATACATAATTTTAAAGGTGAAATGTTATATAATGATAATTTTTTTTCATGCCATATGGATAATATAAATAAGGAAAATAAGGTAAGTAATAATTTCTTTCTTTCTAATAATAATGTACCTAGCAAAAATAAAAATATTAATGAAATTGTTTGGAACCATAACATATCTAATAATAATAATAATAATAATCCAATCAATAGTAACAATGATGATTTAAATGTTTTTTTTTCAAAAAATGAAGATATATTGAAAAATTCATCAAATGAAAACAAAACATCTCAAAACAATACACAAGTATCAAGTATTATAAATAGGTTAATAAGAAATGATTCTTTAAATACTCATAATTATAAGCAAATTTCGGAATATTATTTACAAAATTATATGGATTACTATCCACTTTTTAATTTATCGAATTTTACTTTTAGAAGTTGTTTATTCCCATTTATATATGAAAAGAAATATATAACAGATATTCATAATATGGATTTAATAAACTATGTATCCAACATTAATAATTCAAATAACATAGTTTTTACTCCCTTTTTAATCTTTTTATTTAAAAGAATATTACCACAATTTATTTGTCTTAGTCATCCATTATTATATAGCTCATTCACAAAGAAAAATATGAAAAAAAACTTTAAAAATATTGATAATTATAATTCTTCGTTAAGTAATTCTGAATCAAAAAATTTTATATATGTTAAGCATATTCTTAACTTTATTCAATTAATTTTTGATATACATAATTCTAGTTACTATGTGCACAAAAAAGTTGTATTAGAAATAATTCATTTATTAAAAATTTACTCAAGTTTTCAAAAAAAAAAAGATTCCATTAACAAAAATGAGAAAAACTTGGAAAATGTATTTTCTAATGTAATAGATGTTTTTTCGTATGCAGTTAGTTCATTGTTGTATAAATTAGTTAATGAACAAAATATTGAAGTTGAAAAAAATTGCATACTTGAAGAAAAGCAAATATTAAATACCTCAAAAAATATCTCTAAGGATATAGGTTCTAATAAAAAAGGGGAAAACAATTCAGAGGAAAATACACAAAATAATAAGAATATTAAATATAATAATAATAGTGATAGCAATAATAATAATGATGATAACAATAATAATAATAATAATGATGATAATGATAATGATAATAATAATAATGATCAAAATAATAATAATGATGATAATAATAATAATAATAATAACAACAATAATAATAATAACAACAATAATAATAATAACAACAATAATAATAACAACAATAATAATAATAATAATAATAACAATAATAATAATAACAATAGTAATAATAATAACAATAATAATAATAATAACAATAATAATAATAATAACAATAGTAATAATAATAACAATAATAATAATAATAACAATAATAATAATAATAATAACAATAATAATAATAATAACAATAATAATAATAATAATAATAATGATCAAAATAATAATAATAATGATGATAATGATAATAATGATGATAATGATGATAATAATAATAATGACGATGATGACGATAATATTATAAATAGTAATGATAAAAATAATATAAAGGATTATAACAATAGTAGTAGTAATAATAAGGATAATGATATTAATGATGACGAAGAAAAGGGAGAAAAAAAAGATGAAAATAACAAAACATTTTTATATAGTAGAGAACATTTAATCTTATTTCGCCATTCTTTATGTAATTTGTTAAACAAGTTAGATTATACAAAAGAAGACTTTGCTAATGTAGCTACCTCCATCATTAGATGTTTATCGGTTTTAACATCAGCACCAATTTTAGGATACCCTATAAAGACAAAGAATAACAAATTATGTATGATGAGATTAAATAAATTAAATGAAAAAAAGAATAAAAAAATTAGAAAAATAAAAAGAAATAAAAGAAGAAAAAATATTTCATATGTCACCTTTTTAAATCCATCCTATGTTCGTTTTAGATCGGATTCAAGTAATAATAATTCTGAATGCTCAGATATCCCTTATTCTGTTGATTCAGTTATATCATACGAAGAGCATTTTATCTTTAATAATGATGATACTGATGATGATGATGATGATGATGATATTCGTTATGAGTATGAAGAAGAAATGGACGATGATTATATGGATGAAGATGAAAATGAGGAGATATTTAACGAGCAAGATTATTATGAACAAAGGAATAGCAATTTAAATGAAGACCTAAATGCTGAACAAAATAACGAAAGTTCCCATATTGGTGGTAATAATGAAATAGAAACAAATGATCATGATGAAGAGGAAGAGGAGGAGGAGGAAGAAGAAGAAGAAATTGATGAAGAAGAAATTGATGAAGAAGAAGAGGAAGAGGAAGAAGAAGAAGAGGAAGAAGAAGAAGAAGAAATTGATGAAGACGGAGAAGATGAAGTGGAAGAAGATGAAATAGATGAAGAGGATGAAATAGATGAAGATGATGAGGATATAGAAGATGAGGATATTGAAGATGAAGATATTGAAGATGACTTAGATGAAGATGAAGAAGCACTAGATGAAGAAGAATATGATGAAATTGAAATAGATGAAGATAATACAAGAGAAAGAAATAGCAATGAGAATGATAATAATAGAGGTTTACATGTTCATGCATATTTAGTACAGGACAGAAATGTAATAGATGAAGATCAAATATATGATAATTCAAATAATTTATTATTACCACATGAAGTTGATGAAAATGAAGAAAATTTATCAAATGTAGGTGATAATAATAACAACATAGTTTCTCGATTAGATTTAGGATCAGATAGTAGTAATGACTTGGATGTGCAAAGTACTCATAGGATTAGAGAAATGGATGAAACGGAAGACTACGATGATGATGATGATGACGAAGATGATGATGAAGATGAAGATGATGATGAAGATGAAGATGATGAAGATGATGATGAAGATGAAGATGAAGATGAAGAAGAGGAAGAAGAAGAAGAAGAAGAAGAAATTGATGGAAACAATAGCTGTTTTAGTATTAATCAGAATAATGATAATGGAAGAACAAATAATAATAACGAAGATTTAATGGATACCGAAATTAATATTAACAATTCTTTATTAAATTGTAATGAAAATCAGCATGAAATTTTAGATACTCTACAAGAAGAAGATGGTGTTTATAATATTAATGACGATTTAGATGAATATAATGATGATTATATAGATGATTGTGAAAATAGTAATAGAAATAATATCAATTTCAATAATGACAATAATGAAGTAGAAAATGTAAATAATGATGATATATTAAATGGAATTAATGATACAAATTTATTAATTAATAATAATATAGAAGAAAATAATAAAACTAATAATGAAGGTGGTAATAATTTTTTTACTAGCGAAAATAATGCAACTGAGGATAATTTAAATAGCAGTGTTAATGATAATATTATGCATACCAAAAACATCCCTCTTTTAAATTCTTCATCAAACATTGAGAAAAATATAAATAGTACTGATAATTCAAATATTATGATTAATTCTGAAACATTAACACAAAACAACATTATTAATAATAATTTAACAAATAATTTAAATAATTTTAATGAAAATAATATTAGAAAAAATGACTTATATAATAATGATGATGATAATAATAATAATAATAATAATATTTTTAATAATATAAATAATAATAATGATTTAATTCAAAATAATAACATTAACAATATAATTGATGAACAAACTTGTACTTCAAATAATGAACAAAAAAGTAAAACAATTGAAAATAATTTTTTAAATAAAACTAACAAAAAGGAAAATGGCAAAGAGGATAGTAAAATGATTGAAGAAAATTTCAAGATTAATAAAGAAAGTAGCTATCAAAAAAATAAAGAAATTGATTTACATAATGAAAACACAATTAATAAAAATATATGTGTAAATGATAACAATGAGGAAAATATAAAAAATATAACTAACATTGAAGATGTTGGAAATAATGAAAATATATCAATAAGTAATAGAATTAATTCTTCACAAAGATTATTAGATCTTGCAAATATAAATGAAAATGATATTGGTTTAATTGATTTATATTATCACTTTTATAGTTCTTATAACGGAAATGCAGATTCTTTAATTAACGAAAATAATAGTTTATTATATTTAAATGAGGCAGCAAGAATTAATACAGAGTCTACAAAAAAAGAAAACAATCTTTTGAGTAACAATAATGTAGAAAAAACGAATGATGAAAATATAAATAGTGAAAATGTAATAGAACAAAGATTAATAGAAAATAATAATAGCAATAATAATAACTCAAGGGAAGTAAATAATATACCAACTAATTCTAATATACTGACATTAATGAATCAATTTTGTTCTAATTTATTAACCAATGATAGGGGAAGAAATGAAAACAGAAACAATAATATTGAATTAACAAATGTATCTGATTCAGTGAGAAATAATAATATTCCAAATAATAGCAATGATTTTAATATAAATGAAAATGCAACTAATGAAAATGATCCGTATGACAATGCTGTGAACGAAAATAATTGTACTTTTTATCATATTAATTTTGATAGAATAAATAATATTCCCATGCAACCTATTTCTAATAATTCTTCTAACTCTAGAGCTAACATTGTAAACATGAACGTTAATCATCCAAATGTTAATCTAAGAAATTTATATAATAATATTAGAAATTATAATATAAGTGAAAATAATACTAGCACTAATAGAAATTCATATTTTCCGTCATATATTATAAGGAGTAATATAAATGAAACAACTAGAGATGGAACATGTTCTAATAACAATAATAACAACAGTGAAGAAGTAAATAATGAAAATAGCTATTCTTATTTAAATGAAATTCAAAATATTACTAATAATTCTAGCTGTAACTCACATAATCGTAATAATAATAATAATAATGATAGAAATATATCTGATTTGAATGCGGATACGAATAATGTAAAGAATAAAAATGTAAAGAATGAAAAAAAAGAAAATTTAAATAAAAAAGATTCAAAGAATGAAGAAAAATTCATTTTGGTTGATACAGTATTGGATAATGATAAAAAATTAAAAAGTAGTATTTGCAATATGATGTATAGCAAATTATGTAAAACTATTCCTAAAGTTCACATAAATCTACCAATTGAAAACTTGATTGAAGAAAAAAATAAAATAATCCAAAATATGCGAAAACAAATAAAAGAAAAAGAAAAAAATGAAAATGAAAAACATGAAGAAAACAAAAAGATTAATGAAAATGAAAATTTATCAGAAATTGCTAAAAATGAAGACAAATTAACCAATGACAATTTAGAAGACAATAAAAAAGATGATGATTCAAAACACAAAACTAAATTAACTGATGAAATTGTTATAAACGAAAATAATTCCATTAATATTACAAATATGAAACCTCAATCGCAAAATGATGAAATTGAAAATGTGCAAACAGACGTAAATAATAATCAAAATAATAATTTGCAAGAAAACTTAAATGAAGCCAATTTATGTGAAGAAAATATTGATGAAAATAATGTGAACAATAATGAACAAAATATAGAAAACGAAGATTATAAAAATATAAATTATGAAGAACTGTTTGATAATGTTCTTAAAAATGAATCTCTTCTTATAATATGTTGTTCATTGGGAATTAATGAAAATCAATTTTTACAACTTCTAAATGTCGATAGATCTTTTCTCATTGAACTACCAAATAATTTAATAGACGAAATTATAATTCAACATTTAAAGAATATTACATTAGTAGCTGTAAATGAAAAGGCACAAGAAAATATAAAAAATAAGAAAAACATATCTATTGAAATGTATAAAAATTATCTAAAATTTAAAGAATTTAAAAAAATACAACAAAATGTGTCAAATGAATACAGTAATGAATTAAATACGAACATAGAAACAATTCTAACTAATAATACAAACAATATCTTACCCGAAAATTTAGACAATAATCGACATAACATAAACTCTACTGAAGACATTATTTATGTTGAAAATACTGCTAATGAAGAAGGAAACTTAAATATAGAATATAATGCAAATATAGAAAATAATATGAATACTACAGAAATAGTTAATAATGAAAATGTAAATGTAGAAAACATAACAAACAATGAAAATATTAGTAATGTTGAAAATATTGCTAATATTGAAAATATAACAAATAATGAAAATATATCAAATAATGAAAACATAACAAATAATGAAAATAGTACAAATAATGAAAATATAACAAATAATGAAAATATAACAAATAATGAAAATATAACAAATAATGAAAATATAACAAATAATGAAAACATAACAAATAATGAAAATAGTACAAATCTAGATGAAAAGGAAAAAAATCTTCATATTTATAATAGTATAAAAAAAAGTTACTTAGAAGCATTACCATCTAGTGTAAGATCTGAAGTTAAAAAAAGAATTATAGGGAACAAAAATCAAAGAAATGAATTACAAGATGAAACAAATATCTCTTTCATAGATTCTTTAACACCTGAATTAAGAAGGGATGTATTATCTACCGCAAGTATAAGATTTATAAGAACACTGACTGAAGAAATGATAGAAGAAGCAAGGAATTTAAGATTAGTAATTTTGAATAGTCGTTCTAATAATTTAAATATAAGTAATAGGAATAGACAAAATAATACAAATAATGATATCATAAATTCAAGTAGTAGTGTGAGAAATAATAATAATAATAATAATAATAACACCACACCAAGTACTAATTTAAACACAGATAATTCAAATATTGCTAGTAGAATAAATAATATAAGAAATGATATCCAAGAGAGAATTACAAATAATGTTTTACGAAATGCTTCAAACAATTTAAGTAATAATAATAATATAAATAATAATGATATTAATAATAATGTTACAATAAATAATAATAATAATAGAAACCCAAGAAATAGTAGAACATTAAGTACAACCAATAGAAATAATATTAATAGTAGACGTCGTTTGAATATTCCTTTAAGAAATACTCTTAATAATATGCAACGAAATAATTTTATTAGAATAACTTATAATGAAAATAATAATCCAATTATAATGATAAATACAGGTCATGAAAATTATGATAGTCTTACCGTCTCTCGTTTTCTTGATCATTTTTTAGGTAGCAGATCAGTTAGTACAACTAATCCAAATTTACATTTAGATGATAGTAATAATTCTAATAATACTACTAACAACAATCTTAATAATAATAATAGTAACAACAATAACAATAATAATGAATCAAGATTGTATTTTAATAATGAAAATAGAAATAGTAGTAACATTGATCATAATTACCATGTAATGAATGATGAAAAATCTTTAGAGAAAGAAGAAGATATATCATTAAGTAAGTATTTAAAAAATTTATTTCCATCTATGAATAAATTAGATTCGGATACTTCTAAAATTGCATCTCTGTATGTATGCTTAGAAGAAGCTGTATCTTCTCAGGCTTTAATTGATATATGTAGGTTATTATTTTTGAAAAAAGAAATAAATAAAAAAATAATGTTTACATTATTTTGTAATTTAATTTGTTCCTATCAGAAAACCAAATTTTATACACTTCAGTTATTTATGAATATTTTATGGTCAGCATCTGTTGATTTACATGGAAAAAAGAATAACCCTTCTTTTATTGCATTAAACGCTATAAATTTTCCACCTAAAATGTTATATCATAATGTTAATAAAAAAAATTATGGTTTGTTTTCAGATAATTATATAACAACAGCATCAGTATCAGCAGAGAGAGTTTTAGAACAAGTGCAATCATTACTAATTACTATTCCACATATTACTACTTTTTTTTCAACTTTATTAATTCATCCGTCTTACTTTATACCTAAAGATATTGAACAAAAATTAAAAAGAAAAAAAGAAAAAAATGAAGAGAAAAAAAACATCAATAAAACAAAAGAAGAGAAAGAAGAAAAATTAAGAAATGAAGAGAGAGAAAAGGAGGAGGAAGAAAATGAAAAAGAATTAGAAGAAAAATATAACGATGATGAAGCAGTTATTTTACAATATGAGTTAAAAAGAAAAAGATTGAAAATGGATCAAAAATCTATTTTTCATTTGCATAATAAAAATTTTGACAAAAAAGTGGATAAAACAAAGAATGAATATCCTATAAATATATTATTCAAGTTACTAAATTCTTCATTATATTTAACATCTAAAAAATTAATGAGTCATTTGTTATCTGTTATATACAATCTTTTAATTAACTGTGGAAAAAAAATTCATAACTATGCAAATTTCACCAGATGGGTATATGCTGAAAACTTAAAAGAAATTTTAAATGATGAAAATATATACAAAGATGATGATATGAGAAATGAGGATGATATCAATAGCATATCATTATTAAATAGCAGTTCTGTTGAACAGAGTTCATCCATTAATAAAGAAAATGGTGGCAAAAATAAAGATAAGAAACAAAAATATAAATTGAAAGAATTTAATCATACATCAAAAATTAATAGAGATTTATTATTAAATATAAGAAACTTAAAATATAATGAAACAGAAAAAAATGATTCAACTTCAAAACCATATTATTTATTGGAAGTTATATCAATGGATGCTTTAAGCAATTTAAGTAAACTTATATGTAATTATAAAACAAATTTTTTATGGATAAATAGTAATAATAATAATAGTAATAATGCAAATAATAACAATTTAGAACAAGTTCATAAACAAGATATTTCTTCACTTACACAAATAATGGTGATGTTTTTTTCACATTATAAATTAAAAGAATTAATTATTCAAACCTTAAAATATCATACTCACGTATTAATAAAGAGAATAATTTATGATTTAAGAAAAATTGTTCATTCAATCCATAGTAAGACTTTTAATGTTTATTCTGTTGATCATTCAGATAGTTTAGAACAAAAACTAATAGCGTTCTATAGAGTAATTACCATTTTATTTAATGCACCTTCTCTAATAGAAAATTTAACAAATAAATTTGAGTTAACCAAAAATGGAATATCAGAAGAAGTTAATAATTTGAAGAACACAGATGCAGATGCAGATGTAGATGTTGAGACTAGTGTTTTATTAAATGATAATATAGATAATGATAATAATAAAAATAATGATATAAATAATAATAACATAAGTAATGAGGTCAATGATACATGTAAAGAAAATGTGAATAAAGAAAAAAATAACATTAATAATAAAAATGATGTATCTAATAAAGATAAAGGCATTTCAAACTGTAATAATGAAAAAAAGAGCAAAAAAGTAAATGAAGAAACAAAATTTGATATATGCGCTAGTTTTTTTCTCTCCATTAATATTGATTGTTTATGGGAAGAATTTAATAAAACAATGCAAGTTATAAATAACTCTTTAATTGATAAAAATTACAAATTTAAATGTAACAACAAAAGAAATGGAATTATAAGTATCGCAAAAAATGATAAAGAAAATGATTTAGGAAATGAAATTTCACAAAATTGTATTAATAATATATATTCAGGAAAACCAAATGTTTCTCTTTTTGATTCAGGATCCTCATCACATGATCCCTCAGATTCTGATTGTCATCTAAGTAATAATATACAAAGTAATATGCAAATAAATATGAGAAATAATACAGAAAATAGACATGATAGTAATAATAATGAAGAAAAAAAAAAAGAAAATGATGACGAGCCGCCTCCAACTATTTTAAATTATTTATTGCCTTTAATGGAAGCTTATCTATTTATAGAAGAAGTTATTTTAGTTTCGCAGTATAAATTAAAAAAATTCAAAGATTTAGAAAAAAAAGTAGCAAATTTAAATATTGAAAGTATAAAAATTAACGAAAAATTGGCATATGATGATAGTCCCTTTTATATAAATATATATGATAAAAAAAAAAAACGTTATACTAATGAAATATACGATTCAATTAAAAACAAAGTTTTAAAAACAAGTAATTATACATATTTAAATAAAATAAAAAGGAAAAAAGAAGCAAACTTAGTAGGAGATGAAGAAGAAGATCAGCAATATAAAAAGAAAGAAATTGGTAGTGACCAATTAAAAATAGAGAAGGAAAATGATATAAAAGAATCTGAAAAAAATAAAAATGAAGATACAAACAAAAAAGATAAATTTTTAACAGAAAAAGGAACCTTTTTTAATAATGTAGAAAAATACTTTATTAATAAATTTAAAAAGAAAAAAACCAACGATGAAAACAATAATAATGAAGAAGAAATAAATAAAAATAAAAGAGAAGAAATGGGTTATTTTGAGGATGATACGAGAAAAGAAAATAGAAATATAAAAAAATCTCCAGATTTTGAAAAATTTTACGATGCAAATGAGACTATTAAAGAAATAATTAATGATAAATGTAAAACATATAATGATTTAAATATCAATTATCTAGAGGAAAATGCAAAAATAAATAAAGACTTTTATCACATGGAGGAATATGAAGATGCAAAAGAAAAAGAAGAAGAAGAAGATGAATATATACAAATAAAATTAGAAGACAATGAAGGAACAATAAATAGTAGACATAAAAAGTTAATAAAATTTGTTTATATAAATAGAAGAGTTATTAATAGTTTGATAAAGCAAACTCCAATATTACTACATCATAATTTTAAATCATTGATAAAATTAACATCTTCTTGTATTAATTTTGAAAATAAAAGGCACTATTTGAGGAAAAAATTAAAATATTTAAAATCAGGAATAAGAAGTGAGCCAATACGATTAAATATAAGAAGAGAAAAAGTTTTTACAGATTCCTATTACCAATTAAGGAATAAATCAGGTAATGACTTAAAAGGAAAACTAATAGTAACTTTTAAAAATGAAGAAGGAGTAGATGCAGGTGGATTAACTAGAGAATGGTATTCTATTTTAGCTAAAGAAATTTTTAATCCAAATTATGCTTTATTTTGTAGAGAAGGAAAAAAAAGTGAATTTAATCATCCAAATCCCTTATCATATATTAATCCTGATCATTTACATTTTTTTAAATTTGTTGGAAAATTTATCGCAAAAGCAATATATGATGGACAAGTAATAGATGCATATTTTTGTAGATCATTTTATAAACATATGTTAGGAAGGAAAATTTTGCCTGCAGATGCAGAATCTGTAGATCCTGAATTTTATAACAGTTTAATTAAAATATCAGAATATAAATTAGAAGATTTGAATTTAGAAATAAACTTTAGTACAGAAATTGATGAATTTGGAAAAACAAAAATTATTGATTTAATCCCAAATGGTAGAAACATCCCTGTAACTGATGAAAATAAACATAAATATATTGAATTATTATGTGAATTAAAAGTCACTAATAGTATAAAGGAACAATTAGAAGCATTTATGGATGGCTTTAAAGAATTAATTCAACCAAAATTAATATCAATTTTTGACGACAAAGAACTGGAACTACTTATAAGTGGTATACCAACAATAGATCTGAATGATTTAAAAGAAAATGTAGAATATCATAATTATACACCCAATTCTATTCAAATAATTTGGCTATGGGAGGTTTTACAAGAATTTGATGAAAATAAAAAAGCATCATTTTTACAGTTTGTTACTGGTACAAGTAGAGTACCTTTAGGTGGATTTAAAAATTTAATGGGAATGAGAGGAGCTCAAAAAATGATCATTTATAGAGCTTATGGAGAAGATAGACTACCAACTGCTCACACCTGTTTTAACCAACTTGATTTACCTGAATATTCATCAAAAGAATTGTTAAGAAGTAAACTAATTAGAGCTATTATGGAAGGAAAAGAAGGATTTGGTTTTATATAAAAGTCTAAAAAAAATGTTGAAAGAAAAAAATGAATATACATTTAATATTTATATTTTAATTAAATATTTGAACCATAATCTTCAATTTTTATTTGACAGATATGTGTATATATAAAGCATTGAATTATTCTTTTTTATATATATACTTAAAATTTATAATATTTTTTTTCTTTAATTTTATATATTTTTCTTTTTTTTTTTTTTTATTTTTAATTATTGCATGATGCAAATTTTATTAACCCAAAAAATTTTATTGAAACAAAAGAAAAAAAATTAAATAAATAAAAAATATAAAAATAAATAAATAAATAAATAAATATATATATATATATATAGCTATATAATAATATTTTAAACTATGTGTTAAGGTGTTTTTTTAATCCTCAAGGAGAATTAACTCCTTATATTGCATTTCTTTTACTAATTTTTTATTTTTAAAAATGTTAAGAATACACCTTATTGATTAATATCATATATATATTTTTGTTCTTGTATTAAATAAGTTCTATTAACATATGTTTTATAAAATGAACAGTTGATCACATTTACGTAAATTATTTTAATAAAAAAAATAGTGAAGAAATTTTCCTTGTATTACCCTAAATATTCATAGGAACTGTAAAAATTGAAAAAAAATAATTTAAATGAAAAGATATATTATTAGTGTAATTTTACTAGAATTTTATTTTCTAAAATGAAATAAGCGTTATAAAAAATAATATTCTTAATATATATAAAGAATAAAATGCTTAATTTATTACTAAATGATAATGTACTTTAAAAGACAAAAAATAATATCTTAAATTAGTAACATAATATTTAAATACATATGCAATACCTAATTTCTACTGAATATAGTTTCATAAATTGAGAACATTTATGTCTAAATATTTTTTAATTTTCTTTTTTATAATTTAACATAAATTTTTCTATTATATTACTTTATAACTTCACTAACTTAAAATACTAAAATATATTTACTATTATAAGTAATTGTAAAATTGTATTATTTATAAATTTATTAATAATATAAAAATTAAATTTATTTATTATTCATACAGAAAGAACAAATAGATTATATAGCTTGTTGTTTTCAGAACAAATGTTTTAACTAAATTTTTAATGAAATAATGAATTGAAAAATTATAATAAAAAAAAAATATTATATTTACAAATTAAAAATTCATCAAAAAAAAAAAATTGTATTAATTTAAAATTTTTTTTTTTAGTTTTCTAACAAAAAAGGTGAAAAATAAAAAATCGTATGTATTATAAAGACAAAAAATATATAATCATAAAAAATGGTTAATTTTTAATAAATAAAACAAATTATATTGAATTAGATTAAAATTATTACATTATACAAAAAAAAAAAAAAAAAGAAAAAAGATTTAAATATTTTACTAATTATAATATGAATGAACTTAAAGAATAAACAAAATTAATTTCCTTTTTTTCCTTTTTTACATTATTCTTTAATCTTTAAATTAAATTTATTCTCTGAATTTTTAATGTAGATATGATCTTTAATAGTACCATTTAAATAAATGCATCTTCTCAGATTTAAGGAAAAAATCATATAATTTTTATTTTTAAAAATATATTGGAATTTCTTTAAGCACTCAAATAAATCTTTAAAATTATCAAAATGCAGAATTAATGTTCTTCCGTTATTATTAATATTTAATTCTCTTGTTATCATTTTTTTATCTTTATTTTGGTAAAAATCAACAAAAGATTCATAAATTGGTTCATTATCATTATAATTATCATTTATGTTTGTTTCTAATTCACTCTTAATCTCATCAAATTTTTTAAAGTTTTTTTTAGATATTTCATATATATAATTATAAATATCAGAGCTGTTTTTATAATTATGATTAAAAAAAGAATTGGTGTTTTCAATTTTAATATTACTATTTTTTACAATAAATGTGCATTTTTTTATTTTATGATTTTCACTAAAAATTTTAGTATTACTTTCATTTGTCTTTCTTTCAAAATTATCATTTAAATTTCTTTTACAAGAATCAGAAATATTCTCTTTAATATTCATAAAACTTTCCTTATCACTTTCTTTATTTGCATTAATATTACTTTCTTCATCAAATTTTTTAGAATTATTATCAATTTTTTTAAGATCTAAGTTTAACTTTTCATTAGTAATATATTTCTTATTATTAAATTCATCCTTACTATTAAAAACATCAATATCATATAAAGAGGCATTTAAAAGTAAGTGTAAAATGTTATATATGCTTAAATGAAAAGGTAAATGAGTTATAACCATTATTTTTTTATTTTCACATCTATCAACATATATTAATTTATTATAACAAAAGATACCAAAAATTCTTATAAAATCACTTGTAGCTAAAATAGCGGATTTTTCATTTTCAAACTCTATAATACCATATAGTTGAGTGTAACTATTTGGGTTTAAAGAATTTTTAACATTTTTGTTATTATTGTTAATATTATTATTATTATTATTATTGTTGTCACTTTTTTTTTTATTGTTTTCAGAATTTAACTCATTATTCAATAAATTTATGTCTACTGTTTTTAATCGTTCACTAAATAATTCAATGTTTTTTATTTTTCCACAAAAGGAAAAAGATTCCTTTAATTCCTCTATAAGTAAATCATAGCTTATTATAGGAAGATTATATACTATTATAAAATTATTTATATTGATACTATTTGTTTCGTTACTTCTAATGTTTACATCTATTTCATAAATACTTTTATTATTATATTGATTTTTTATATGATTTGCATTTGTATTTGTATTTGTATTTGATTCTTTTTTTTGAATATCATCATTATTATTTTCTGAACTTTCAAATTCCTCTAATAAGCTATTATTCTCATTTTCTTTACTATTATTCAAAATTTGATCATAATAAAATGTGTTGTTAATATCTTCTAATTTTAAAATATCTACTGATTGAATAAATAAGCATGTTAAAACTTCATTGTAATCTTTTGGGCATAATTCATAAAATTCCTCAAAATATTTTATTTTTTTTTTTAAATTTTTTTTTGTTAACTTATTATAATTTTTAATTAATTTTTTTACTTTTTTAATTTCTGAATTAGAAAATTTATCATAAATTTCATACAAAAAGTTATTATATGCATATATATTTTCAAAACCTAATGACGAATTATTATTAACAAAAGTAGATATATCTTCTATTTTACTCAATTGATTTATGATTATATTATGTTTTAATCCTATTTGTTGAAATTCTTTAAAATAATTTTCTTTGTTGAAATTCATGCTAATAGACGTCTCATTTACATGAAATTTTTTCTTATTTTTTTTACTATTCCCATTTTCAATTGTTTTATTATTTTCATTTTTTCTTGAACTTATTAATACTTTATTTTTCGTTTTTTGTTCTTTAAAAATTTTCGTATCTTTTTTTTTTGTATTATCTGTTCTTTCATTGCATCTTGTTTCACCTTTATTTTTTTCTTCATTTTTTTCTTCATTTTTTTCTTCATTTTTTTCTTCATTTTTTTCTTCATTTTTTCCTTCATTTTTTCCTTCATTTTTTTCTTCATTTTTTTCTTCATTTTTTTCTTTATTTTTTTTATATTTTTCCCTTTTTAATATATTACATTTTTCTTTTTTAGTGTAACTTTTGCATTTATTACTCTTTTTACCAAAATTTTCATTTTTTAACTCTTCCTCTATTTCCTTCTTTGTATTTTCATTAAAAGTCTCTACATTTTTGCCTTTTTCATTTGTATGGAGATTTATTTCTTTTTTTATATCGTTTGTATTTGATTTAAATTTTAGCTCCTTTTTTTCATTAGATAATTCTTTTTTTAAATTTTCTTCACTACTAATCTCTTTATTTATTTTTTTACATATGTTTTTATTTTCATTTTCTAAACGGTTATCTATAATAGGTTCAAATTTCTTTATATTCCTAACATTAGAAAATGAATCCTTTTCTTTTATATTTTTTTTTTTATCTTCTATTTTAATAATGTTATGCTTATATAAATTTCCAACACTTGAGAAAAATGTAAAATTTTTCGATAAAAAAAATTTATTCTTTAAATTAAAATAATTGGTGTGGCAAGTATTTTTGTTTAGAAAAAAGTAATTTTTAATAGAATAATAAATTGTCTCTAAATTTTTTTTTTCTTTCATCATTTTCTGAACTCATTTCTATTTATGAGAAAATATTAAATGATTAAAAAATGTATATTCTCTTTATTTTAGTAATTATACTTTATATGTAATTCTCATAGATAGCCATTTTATTTTATTTTATTTTTTTTTTTTTTTTTTTGTTCATGTATTTTTTTATTTTTTTTTTTTTTTTCTATTTAATTTATAATACTTTGACGATTTTTTTAATTTTAGCATTTTTTATTTTTTTTAAATTCATATTGTTTTAAACTTAGTGATACTTATTATATTTAATTTTTTTTTATTTTCTTAATTTTCTGATTAATTTTTACTTTTTTTATTTTTGTAAAATTATATTTATATATCCTAGAATCATATTTCATATAAACAAAATTAAAAATTTATTTAGACTCTCTACAATTATTGAAAATTTGCAAAACATAATTTTTTTAAGAAAAAAAATAAAATCACAAATAGATCTTATATATAAAAAGAACTAATGATATTACTATATATTTTCAATTAATATTTTTTATTAAAATTCAAGTAAGATTTCTTTTAACTTTTTATTTGAATAAAAATATATTTATTATAACTTGTATTAATTCATTAAAACTATTTTAAATATTTATTAGTTTGCTATACTTGAAAAAATTAAAAATGTAGATTTTTCTTTTAGGAAATGAATTATAATAATAATGAAAAACTGTATATAAACATTATCATAAATAATGAAAATCCTTATAAATATAAAAGTACACTAAAACAAAGAAAATAAAAAAAAAAAAAAAAAATATATATATATAGAAAATAAGAAATATTATTAAAATTACAATTATATCTATATATGATTTATGAAAAACTTAATAGATGTTAAAAATATTAAATTATATTGTATTTCTTAATGGCTTATTTATATTTTTACCCATTCTTAACGTTATTTTATTATAAAATTAAAATTGAATAATCTTAACTTATAGATTTCAATTTTTGTAGTTTTTTATTACCTAATTTTGCTTCAAAATCCAGACCTGCTATTTTGGCGACATTAATTGCTTTTAGCAACTCGTCTTCATTTGTTGCTGTTCTTAATAAACTTCTAATTTTTTCATCTTTTACAAATTTTTTTAATTTTTGTTTATTTGAATAAATATTTTTTTTTTGTTGTTTTTTTTTTGGTGAATAAAAGTGTTCAGTTAAATTATGAAGATAAGGAGAACTAAGTATATTATAATTTTTCATATAAGGAACATTTTGTAAACTTCTATTTTTTAAACTGTTTTCAATATTATTATAATCTGTTAAGGTATTTTCTTTTTTTAAGTAAATGTTGTTACCTTGAATATTTAATAAGTTTAATTTTTTTTTTTTCTTATTCATAGAATTTAGTCTATTAAAACTGGCATTTAATGTAGAGTATATGTAAAAATCAGTCACTGATACATCGTTAGTGTCGTTATAAAAATTAGAATTTTTTTGTTTTTTATTTTTTAAATTCATATAATAATAATTATTTTTTAGATTGTTGCAATATAACAATCCACCATTTTCATAAGAATTTTGTTTGTGTATATTCCTTATATTATTAGTTGTATTTAAAAGTAAGTTTCGTTTTGAATATTTTTTTTTTATTACATTTATATTATTTTTAAAACTATCATTTTTTTGAATTGAGAATATTTTACTTGGAAAGCTTCTTTTTGATAAATTGCTATGTAGTGCATGTGTGTTCTTAAATCTATTTTTTCTTATTCTTTTTTTAGATTTTAGTTGCTCTATATCTATTTTGTTAATAATTTTGTTTAATTTCTTAATTAATTCTATGTCAATAGAGATACTTTCATTTTCAGGTTTATCCTTTTCATTATTTGCTTCTGGAAACTTTTTTATTATTTTAATTAATTTTAACAAATTCGTTCGTATTATTCTATAATTTTTTCTAAAATGCTTTTTTAATGTTCTTATTTTATCATCTATAGTTTTATTAAAGTTTTTACTATCATAATGAGAAAAAGAGCCATAAGATCTTTTATTCAAAAGATTTTTATTTCTAATTTTTTCAAAAGTTTTCCTTTTTTCATTTTTTTTTTCTAAATTCAACGATAAGTCTTCATTATTAAAAATACTCCACATTTTATTATACAAAAACAAAAAAAAAAAAAAAATAATATAAATAAAAAATAAAAATAAATATTTTTGTTACAATTAACTCGGGTTAAGAAAACTAGTATATGTAAACACAGAAAATAAAATAAAAAAGAAAATTAAATGTTATCACTAACATTAATAAAATTAAATAAATTTGTTTACATTTGAATAATAATAAAAAAAAAAAAAAAAAAAAAAAATGCTCGTATATTTATTTTACTTTTAAAGAATAAAAACAAAAGATATTTAAAGAAGTTATCTAATAAACAAAAAATTACTAAAAAATATATATATATATATATATGTGTAGACATATTATTATATATTTATTTTCTTATACAAAAAGTTATACATATTTTAAAATATATATATCTATGTGTAAAAGAAATATAAATTATACTAACTCCTAAAATAATAATTGATAATTTCTATGAATTATATGTTGCTATATTTTTCTTTATGAGGTAAATCATAAATTACTACACATATTTTTTTTCTTTTCTTATTTTATAATTATATCTTATTTTATTTTATTTTTTTTTTTTTTTTGTTGTTGTAAGAAGATAAATAAATTATTCAACTTTTTCTTAAAAATTGAAATTTTTTTTCTTTTATTATATAGAGTGTAAATTTTTATTTATATACGTTTTTGATTTGATTCTAAATAAACTAAGAAAAGTATATATATATATTTTTATAATTTAAATTTCATAAATAAAAAATATTATTTTATATATAGTTTTTTTTTTTTTTTTATTACTATATGTTACTTTTATTTATTTATGTTTTATATTTATAACATCAATTTGCTTTGCTTTACTTTTTTTTTTTTTTTTT